TGTGTCCCAAAGTAAGTTTAGGTAATCTTTTCTGAACAATTAACTTCTTTGTTGATCACCAGCAAAATTAGCAGCCAGGGAAGTCAATGGAAGGCTTACACTTTTTGTACAATTCTTTGTATCAGAAAATCTGGGATACAATTAACGCTGCAATTAAATATTGCCCTTTTTGCTCTCACCAGGCAGCCAATTAGGGTTTCAGAAGGTTCAGGAAACACTGAAATAATTTGAGTAGTACATATTTTTCACATATTTGGGAGCATACTGATGTGAATACCAAATTAGTATTTCATTTGCTTTTTAAAACGTATAATAATCTTGTGCATATTTATGCACAGGGCTAAAATCTTTTATCTGTGGCTTTTGATGTACTGGGGATTTTGAACTCTGCAGACTCCTTTATACTGCAAGAGAGAGATTTTAGAAGGGAAAGAAAGCCATGCTGGGAATGTTAAGCATGTATAAACAGGAGTGGGCAATTTATTGCCCTGGAGCCACATGTAACCCTCAGTCCTTACCCTAATTTCAAAAGCCTTCTGCAAGCCTTCAAACCTCTGGCCCAAGCTACCTATTCCTCCTCTGACAAACTATGTTAAAGGAGGGAGAGAAAATAGGGAATGGTAGAAATAAAATAATAACAATAACAATAATAATAATTTATTTATACCCCACCCACCTGGGCGGTTTCCAACAAAATATTAAAAATACAATAAAACATAAGACATTTAAAACTTCCCTAAACAGGGCTGCCTTCAGATATTTTCTAAAAGCCAGATAGTTGTTTATTTCCTCGACATCTGATGGGGGGGGCATTCCATTGGATGAGTGACACTACCAAGAAGGCCCTCTGCCTGGTTCCCTGTAACTTCACTTCTCGGCAGGGAGGGAACCACCAAAGGCCCTCGGAGCTGGACCTCAGTGTCCGGGCAGGAACAATGGGGGTGGAGACGCTCCTTCAGGTATACTGGGTCAAGGCTGTTTAGGGCCTTAAAGGTCAGCACCAACACTTTGAATTGTGCTCGGAAACGTACTGGGAGCCAATGTAGGTCTTTCAAGACAGATATTATATGGTCTCGACAGCCATTCCCAATCACCAGTCTAGCTACTGCATTCTGGATTAGTTGCAGTTTCCGGGTCACCATCAAAGGTAGCATCACATAGAGCGCATTACTGTAGTCTAAGCAGGAGATAACTAAAGCATACACCACTCTGTCAAGACAGTCTGTGAGCAGGTGGGGTCTCAGCCTCTGTACCAGATGGAGCAGGTAGACAGCTGCCCTGGACACAGAATTGACCTCTGCCTCCATGGACAGCTATGAGTCCAAAATTACTCCCTGGTCTTTCAGGGGCACAGTTACCCCATTCAGGACCAGAGAGTTCCCCACACCTGCCTACCCCCCTGTCCCCCCAAAACAGTACTTCTGTCTTGTCAGGATTCAACCTCAGTAGAGAGAAGACCTTTCTCTGTCCACTTTGGGCTGTCATCTACTCATTGCTGGCTTCTGTCCACCTACTGTTGACATGCACTTTCCCCCAATAAATTCCTATTGGTGACTTGTAAGAAAGTGAGGACATTTTGAAAAGTGATATATGATGAGATAAAAAAGATGTTGAAAATCTTATACAAAAACAAACAAACCCTGAAGCCTTTCTTTAGGGATTCTACGGACAGAAGTTACAAAAAAGATGATTAAGCTGTTTATGTATATAACAGCTTATATAAAGAACAGGATTCTTTATGCACAAAAATGGAAGGAAGAAGTTTCCACCAAAGAAGAATGTGATGGAACTGGCAAAGTTATTTTTTTTGAAAATTTTTTTATTAGTTTTACAAAATTTTAAGAACAAACAAACACTTAAAAAGACATACAAACACGTATAATTTCATAATGTTTTTCATAAACCTCTTTTCTGAGACTCCCCCATACCCCCCCTTTCTGCATCCCAATGTCCATAGTTTTATAGCAACTCCCAATTGTTACTTTCCAACCTCTGTCCTTAGTTATCTCTGTAATCTGACCTTATATCACTGTATCCCTTTGTTCCTGAAAACCATAACACTCTAACATTCATCAAGTTTATAATAGTCCTTAAGATAACTTTTGAATTTTCTCCATTCTTCTTCCACCGTCTCTTTTCCTTGGTCACGGATTCTGCCTGTCATCTCGGCCAGTGTCATATAGTCCATCACTTTCATCTGCCATTCTTCCAGAGTGGGTAGATCTTGTGTCTTCCAATACTTTGCGATAAGTATTCTTGCTGCTGTTGTAGCATACATAAAAAAGTTCTATCCCTCTTTGACACCAATTGGCCGACAATGCCCAAGAGAAAGGCCTCTGGTTTTTTAAGGAAAGTACTTTTAAGTACCTTTTTCATTTCATTATAGATCATTTCCCAGAAAGCCTTAATCTTCGGGCATGTCCACCAAAGGTGATAGAAGGTACCTTCAGTCTCTTTACATTTCCAACATTTGTTATCGGGCAAATGATAAATTTTTGCCAGCTTGACTGGGGTCATGTACCACCTATAAACCATTTTCATAATGTTTTCCTTTAAGGCATTACATGCCGTGAATTTAATACCGGTGTTCCATAACCATTCCCAGTCAGCTGACATAATGTTATGGCCCACATCCTGTGCCCACTTAATCATAGCCGATTTGACTGTTTCATCCTGTGTATTCCATTTCAGCAACAAGTTATACATTCTTGATAAATTCTTAGTATTGGGTTCTAACAGTTCAGTCTCTAGTTTTGATTTTTCCACCTGAAAGCCAATTTTCCTGTCCTGTTTGAAAAACTCCATTATTTGGTGATATTGAAGCCAATTTTGTACTTTATGTTTCAATTTCTCATAACTTTGTAATTTCCACTTATCTCCCTTAGATCTAAGTGTAATCAGGCAGTCTCTCGGGGTCTTTCTGTCCTGCTTTTTGCCCAGTCTAAAGGCTGTTTGTAATTTTAAATTCGTCTTCCTCCAGATCCCAGCAATCCGCAAACTCCTGTGTTAAAAACTCCGCAAGGTTGTCACTTTCGTTCTCTGGAATCAGTCTCAATTTCAAATTTCTCTCTTTCTCTGTAATTCCCACAGAGCCAAAGTTGCGTCGTGCTCATGGACCTTCTTGGCAATCGGTTTCTAAATTCTCCTGTGTCTCTCCAGCAATAGCTCTCGCTTCTTCAGCAATTTTACGTGTAGTGGAATTTTCCTCAACCAGTTTGTTTATAGATTCTGTATTCTGGTCTAGTCTTGCTGATATTTCTGTTAATTTTTGTGTATTTTCTGAAGTCTGTTTTGTCAGAGACTCCAGGGATTGATTTACCTTAAGCAGGGCTTCTGTCACGGCTTCCATAGAGACAGCTGTCACTTTTTCTTGTCCTGTTGTTCCTGCAAGTCCGGCAGTTACACCTATGATTGAGCCTCTTTTCTTTGGTTGTTGTTGTTGCTGCAGCTGGTGCTGTTGTTGTTGTTTGGTCTTGGCTCTTGTGACTATCTCTTCTTGTGAGCCACTCATGTCAAGGTCGTTTCCCACGGGAGCTGTTCCCCACTGGAAAATTCCACTGTCTTATGCAGTGCCAACCTTTACCTTACCCTCTAGGGGGAGCAAATCAAAATGGCCAAATATAAAATGTCCAAATACAAAGGCAAAGAGAATATCCAAGTACGTAGGAAAGGGAGAAAGAGAAAAAATAAAGCAAGTATAGCTGGAGGCTTGTAGCTGCAAATTGCCACAATTTCCCAGTAGATACTGTCTCAGCTTACTCTGATGTACTGTATCCAGGCAATGCAGAAACTTTGTATCACAGTGTAACTTTCACAGGGAAAGTCAGTTCAGTGTCCTATTCCCTAAAAGGCAGACCGTTTCATGCTCTTAACCAGCTGAGGCAGCAGAGGATTTTTCTTTTAAAATAAATTATGCAGTTGCCAAAGTCTCTCTTGCCTCCCCTCTGCCCTGCTAGCTAGAGGGAGATCTAAAGTCCAAATGTCAGGTTTTGATTAAATACAAGCAAAGTCTTAACGGATGCAGCTTTACAGTTCCGTTGCTTTCACTTTCATGCAGTCGGGGGGAGGCAGACTTCCTTGATTTTGACCTCCCCGCTTTCAACCAAATCTCCAAATTTTAGTTCCAAATAGAAGTTTCCGTTTTACTCACGGGTTTTTTCTGTCCGTAATTTACAGGAAGGAATCGGCGCTCTCCACTAATAGCGACGCGGCTTCACCCTGCGGGCTGGGTAGCGATTCTCAGCACCGCGCTCCCCCGATGTCGTTCCAGAGCCTTTAAAAAGGCTCTTTCTGCGGTAAAGGGGGCGCTTTTTGGTGCCCACCGAATCTCCTCGTTCACAGGCTTCCGTGCCTGTGATTTTAGGGGTCCCCCGCTCGCCGTAGCGGGACAGACCCGAACTCGCAGGGCAGTCCTTCTCCGGAGCTCGTAAAAAGAACCGCCATTAGCGCTGGCGCCGACCGGAAGTCTCCCAGTTTTTCCGGGTCATTTGGCCAGCATCACTACTGGTGCAATGGAAACACCAAGACCAGAGAAGCGCACGGAAATGCCGTTTCCCTTCCTGCCAGAGCGGTACCTATTAATCTACTTGCACTTTGGGGCATGCTCTGGAACTGCTAGGTTGACAGGAGCTGGGACCGAGCAACGGGAGCTCACCCTGTCACGGGGATTCAAACCGCCAACCTTCTGATTGGCAAGTCCAAGCCCAGTGTCAATCTTTTCCCCAGGCAATGCCATATTTCCCGTAGAGTCTGACTATAACTTGTGCATGGATGGAGAACTTGTGGTTCTCCAGGTGCTATTGCACAGCAGCTCCTAGCTATGACTGATGGGCACTGAACTCCCAACAAAACCCACAGAGTAGCTCCCTGAGTAGAAATGCTTTGGCTGTGTCTAAAGACAAGCAGTGATAATTGATGCCACAGCCTTTAAACCCAATGAGCCCTCAATTATCTGGCTCCACCTCCAAACTTTTTTTTAAGGGGGGCAATGCTTTGCTTACCGCACCAATGCCGTCAAGCTGTGCACCACCTGTCAAGGCAACTATGGTGATGACCTGCGTTCTCAGGTTTGGGGATGATAGCAGTTTAGCAGTAGTCATGTTCTTTTCTGCTTTCTCAAAGAGGTCCTCCTGACGGAGTTCGTTCATTTCATTCTCCACATCATCCTTGCCTCTCAGCACCTTCAGTTCTGCATGGGAACAGAGGCAGAAAGGATTAGGATTCAGTAGAATAAGAGTCTCAGAAGAATGAGGATATTGTTAAGAAGGAAGCGGGAAAGGGGAAGTCCAGAGGGTCAAATCTCTTTAGAATGTCTGGGAATTATTTAAAATGGTCAGTATAGATGTTTCAGCTAGAATATACAACACTGATTGGTAATAATATCTAACAGGGCCAAGGGGATGTCACTGTGGTGAATGAACGGAGTTAAGGAAGCTATTCAAAGCAAAAAAGGACTTTTCTTCAAAAAATGGAGAGTAGGGGAACCCAGTAGGCAGTAGTGGGGAGGAGTCAGCAATCATTTTGCACATTCGGCTGCATTCAGACAGTACTTTATTCCACTTCCAGGCATTTATTTAACTGATAATTTCCACAATTTATGTGACCCTTCCCACAACTTAAAGGTCTCTTCTGGATATCTAGCAGAAGGCTAGCATTCATTTCCATGTCAACTGCTTCCAGAAAAAAAATCTGTTTGCAACTCCATTAACTTAAAAAAATGAAGAAGGTTTGCACTATAATTCTCACACCGTGAAAAAATTTGGGGGTACTAGTTTGGCATACAGTTCTTCCCTGCCACTTTCATGGGTGAATAATAGGGGAACAGAAGCATACATGCACTTAAAGAGTGGTGACATGTCCAACAACAACTGGTGTTGTGTCACGCCATACCCATATTAAAGGGTAAAAGGACCCCTGACCATTAGGTCCAGTCACGGACGACTCTGGGTTGAGCCACACATCTCGCTTTATTGGCCGAGGGAGCCGGCGTACAGCTTCCGGGTCATGTGGCCAGCATGACTAAGCCGCTTCTGGTGAACCAGAGCAGCACATGGAAATGCTGTTTACCTTCCTGCCAGAGTGGTAGCTATTTATCTACTTGCACTTCAAACTGCTAGGTTGGCAGGAGCAGGGACCGAGCGACGGGATCTCACCCCGCCACGGGGATTTGAACCGTGACCTTCTGATTGGCAAGCCCTAGGCTCTGTGGTTTAACCCACAGCACCACCCGTGTCCCTATACCCATATTAGAGAAAAGCAAATACAGTGGTACCTCGTGTTACGTACTTAATCCGTTCTGGGAGGTCCATTCGTAAGCGGAAACCGCTCATAAAATGAGGCGTACTTTTGCTAATGGCACCTCCCACTGCTGCTGCACCACTGGAGCAGAACTTCCACTCACATCCCAGGGCAAAGTTCTCAACAAGGGGCATCTACTTCTGGGTTAGCCGAGTGCATAACCCGAAGCATTCGCAAGGGGGACGGTACGTAACACAAGGTACCACTGTATATTTCCTTTTGAGTTTGTAGTTCATGGATGTGCTAGTTTAAACTACACAAAGGCACAAAAGCAATCTAGCCATCACTTGTTTGGATGTATCTTTGACTAATTTAACTCCACCCCAAAAAGCAGAGTTGTTCTTGCTCTTCTTTCCAAACAAGATGTCTGCTGTTTTCTCTCTCTTATCTCCATTCATCTGGGTAAATAGCTCATACATGAATAAAGCCCCTGAACTCCAGAAACTGTAAACGATTACTGCAGTCTAATTGACCCAAGTTGCAACGTCTGCTAACAACCCAGTGGTGTGAATGAAAATTAGTTTGGCATAGCAGTATATCAATCAAAATGTCGCAGTTCCATAATGTTGCTGCAGATAATGCAGTAAAAAAGCTGTGCTATAAATAGGGGCTAAAAGACCCTCAGGGTTTCATCCATCTCTGCAATTCTATGATAGAAGTGCTAGCTTTATAACCAGGAAAACTAATGCAATAATCCTCATATCTGAATGCAGCCATAGCACAAATTATATGGGGTTGTATCCAACTAAGTTCTACTCAAACTAAGACTACATCAGACATGCCCATTAATTCAATGGGCTTACTCTGAGTAGGGCAAGTATTGGAAACAGCCTGAAACCAATTAAATTGTTTATGCACTTGCTTTCTTCTCTCAGTCACCGCTCAGTCAGTAAAGTACTTAATACTAGAGTTGTGGGTTCAAGTCCCATACTGTGCAAAATATGCCTGCATTGCAGGTGGTTTGGACTAGATGATTCTCATGCTTACTTCCAATTTTACAATTCTATGAAACTGCATTACAGGAAAATTGCCTATAAAGTTATCTACCACTTCCACTGGGGGACTGTGTATGAGTTCCTCAGAAAATATCACATGAAACTGTTTTACGCTGGCATCTTTGCATGTTTTCAGGCTTATTGTTCAGTATATACCAAGCCTGCCATCATGCAGACACCATTTCATTGGTCCAGACTTTTTTTGCAGTGGGGCTGGGGGTGGGCAATGACATTGCTGATTGAAGCGGTATTTTACTCAGTTCCTACTTAAATATTTTTATTGGTGTTTTAGATACACTTTATGAATTAGTCGTTTCATTGCAGCTTTAATGTATATTTTCCAAAAATCAACCACCTGGTGAACGGCAGGACTATAAAAACTAAAACAAAACAACAGCCTCTAATAGTAGAGGTAATGTATCACCGTCATTACTAGGAGCCATTGGAAGCCCAGTGGCCATAAACATGTGTATAACCATTTACACTAATATTTCATATGTGTGCACATTGTAATGACATGGATGTGGTTGGTTCTAAATTAATAACATGGGAATATAAGCAATTATTTCAAAATGCTAGAATGGGGAGAGGTCATTATTCTGGCCAATGGTGGGTGATGTCTCTTCAGCCAGATGCGTTCTCATGGCTATGTATGATGCTCACAACTAGAAATCTCAATACAGTTCAGAGTATTGTACCTTCCCTTGCACTCTCTGCATTCTTCCTCTGAATGAGCAGATACCTCGGACTTTCAGGAAAGAAGGGTAGTAGTATGATCTGAAAAATTGGCATGACCCCAGAAATGCCCATCACAATCACGTAACCTGTGCAAGAAGATAGAGTGACGACAATGTGGAGAAACTGTGGCCATGAGTCTGGTCTCATATAAGCCAAAGGATTAATTTATCTTAATTACCTCCTCGCATTTTAAAGTTGTCTTTAGCAACAATTAGCTGACCCATAAAGAGGCCTAAAGAATAAAATAGCTGGGACATCATGACGACAGCTCCCCTCACGCTTCCAGGGGCGATCTCTCCAAGATACAGAGGAACAACAACGGAGATTAGTCCTATTTAGTTGATAAATAAACAGATAAATCACATTGAGCATGCGACATGTACAACAATGCATGAACAGTCCTGAGGCTCCAGTAGGATGTGCAAGTAATATCTCATGTCTCTAAGGTGTTCTTTTGTAGAATTCTGCAAAATGTCACCGACAGCTGAGTGGAACTATGTGGAGGCATGACATCACACACCATAGATATGGTAACACCACCCAGTTGTAGCTCTGAACCAAACCAGCCCCCACAAGGGAGTACGGACAGGTGTTCTCAGTAGCTGCCTCTCAACTTGGGAATGTTCTTTTGTTGGAACCTGCCCAGAGCCCGTATATCTCTGAGAAATGACATTAAATCATTTAATTCAAACTACGGTCATACTGTCGGTATACTAGCCCAAACTGAATGGTTTGTTGTTGTTTAGTCGTTTAGTCGTGTCGACTCTTTGTGACCCCATGGACCAGAGCACACCAGGCACTCCTGTCTTCCACTGCCTCCCGCAGTTTGGTCAAACTCATGCTGATAGCTTCAAGAACACTATCCAACCAATTCTTGTCCTCTGTCGTCCCCTTCTCATTGTGCCCTCCATCTTTCCAACATCCAGGGTCTTTTCCAGGGAGTCTTCTCTGCTCATGAGGAGGCCAAGTATTGGAGTCTCAGCTTCAGGATCTGATGGTAGTGGACTACAATTCCATGTAATCTCTAACTATAGTCATGGAATAGCTATTGGCTGGGACAGATGGAAACTACAGTGGTGCCTTCGCAAGACGAAAAGAATCCGTTCCGTGAGTCTCTTCGTCTTGTGGTTTTTTCGTCTTGCGAAGCAAGCCCCATTAGCGGCTAGCGGCTTAGCGCTATAAGGCGCTATTGAGCGGCTTAAACGGGATTAGCGGATCAGCTGATAAGCGGCTTAGTGGCTTAGCGGAACAGCTGATAAGCGGCTTAGCGGATCAGCTGTTAAGCGGCTTAGCGGATCAGCTGATAAGCGGCTTAGCGGATCAGCTGTTAAGCGGCTTAGCGGCTTAGCGGATCAGCTGTTAAGCGGCTTAGCGGCTTAGCGGCTTAGCGGATCAGCTGATAAGCGGCTTAGCGGCTTGGGAAAAAGGGGGGGGAGGGAAAAAAACCCCTGCAGGAACTCGCAAGACATTTTCGTCTTGCGAAGCAAGCCCATAGGAAATTCGTTTTGCGAAGCACCTCCAAAACGGAAAACCCTTTCGTCTAGCGGTTTTTCCGTCTTGCGAGGCATTCGTCTTGCGGGGCACACACTGTATGGTCAAACAACACCATGGTGGTATGTTCTTTGGTACAATTAGTATGCTAATTAACCCAAGGCCTTGGATAAAACATATTTTATATTTTAAATAATATATAATTCTACCACAGCGATTCCTCTTTTCATATTTCACCAAAAATCCATTTTCCAACTCACAGTCCTAAAGAGTTTCAATGCCACCTCTACCAGTTACTCCATCCTTGGTGACCTGAGCCACAGCACTGGTTTCCAAAGTCAGTTAGGGAGATGTGTGTGGAAATGAGACACACTGATACTGCTTTACTTGGTTCTTTGGCAGAACCCTCCCTCTGTTGTGGAAACAAACTATTGCTCAGTGTCTCTGCTCGGCTCAGACTAACAAGAATTCTACGCCAAACTACTAAACCTGGGACCTTGACTCACCTGTGCATACCCCAGTGTAGAAACGTACAGCAATTGTGAATTCATAGACATTTACTTTATTACCAACAGCCAATAGGACAGGAGGGATCAGACTCAAAAAGGTAGTTATCTTCACAGCACCTTTCCTGAAAAGATAGTGAAAGGGGGCAGCAAGGTGGGAAGATTTCAATATATGATACCATCAAAGCAGCAAAGGGGGGAGAGGAGCTATAGAAATACAGGAA